CCTCTCCCGGAATTGACACCTCCTCATCTATTATTGGGAGTGGACTACATCCACCCTGATTGAATTGGCCCTGTCAACACTGGTTCTCCACTTGCGAAGTAACTCCCGGCTCTCCATGTGTCAGTATATAGTGCCTGCATCTGTAACTTTCACTCTATGCATCCGAAAAAGTGAGGTTTTTACCCACGAAAGCTTATGCCCAAATAAATCTGTTAGTCTTTAAGGTGCTAGCAGGCTCCTTGTTGTTTTTGTAGATACAGACTAACACGGCTACCCCCTGATATTTGTTTGCAAGGGAGAACAATGATTTTCCTGGTTACATAACAAAAATAACAGTAAGGCATGAATGTAAAAGCTCAGTGTAATGGGAACCCAGAAGAAAACAAATGACCACAATTTAGACACTTTGGGCTTGATCATGCTGCCATTAAAGTCAGTAGCATAACTCTCATCTGAGTAGTTGGAGGATATAGGTTTTTACAGGTTACTTTGTAAGTTGTGTAGCTGAGTCTATTTTTTGGGGCAGGAGCTGTCTTTACTATATCTTTGTACAGCACCCAACAGAATAGGGCGCCAGTCCTGACTGGGGCTTCTAACAACTGTTATAATATAAAATGATAATTAAAAATGATAGTGAATGACCAATAGATACTCTGTCACAGATAAAGCATAAAATCTATCATAATTTCTTCAAAGGGACTAGACAGCTGATGTGGATAGAGCTGGTTGGGAATCTTCTGCCAAAACTATCTTTTGTTGGAAAATTCTGATTTGTTGAAACTGAAACATTGAATGGGTATCCAGTTAGACTAAAAAGATTTATGAGATCCCGGATAGAATTTCTGGACAAAAGCAAAGAGAATGCTACCCACCCCAGAAGAGCCAGTTGTTTGGGGCACTCACCTGCAATGTGGATGACCCCGGTTCAAGTTGCTGCTCTGCCTGTTTCAGGGTAGGGACTTGAACCAGGGTCTGCCACATCCCCAATGAGTGCCCTAATCACCAGGCTATAGAGTCAGTCTCTGTCACTGGCCCAGTGGCTATTTAATAATAATCTCTCCAACAAGAGAGATTGAGAGAGACCCACCCCAAAATAGCCAATAGACTAGTGGCCAGGCCATTCTCCTGTGATGTGGCAGACCCACATTCAAGTGTCTGCTCCAAATCAGGCAGGGTCTCTCACGTCCCAGGATAGTCCTCTAACCATTTGGCATTTCTTGGGTGGGTGGCTGAGTGGCTGGCTGGCTGGCTCCCTTTCTCATTCTCTCATTTTCAATTAAAAAAAAATAATTAAAAATCTTGGGTTTTGTCCTGATATGGAATGGGAGAATTTTCTAAATCTTGGAAATGTTTGTGGGATAGAAAAACCATTTCTCATCCAACTCCAAGTGTGGGTACCGTGAGTTTACATGATCTCTGTGAATGAAGAATGGGATGTATTGGTTCTTCAGCTGTTGTCCTCAGTTACAAGTGACTAAACTAAACTGAGCTCTTATAAATTTTTTTAATTAAGTAAAATTTGTGTTGGTGGTAGACATCAGCGGTCTAATGCAATCAAATGGACTTCTAGTTAAAGGTTCATGTTAGTACTGACTGATAGTCACTTGTTAGCAAGTAGACTGTCATCCACATTGATATGTTAGTTATCCACATGAAAGTCATAACAAAGCAGTGATTTCTGATGTTCAAAATAAGCACTGCAGGTGGAATTCCCTTCCACTGTACCAACATGTGCCCTGTCCAAATCAATCAGCCACAGGACAGTAAGGACACATCCTGGATTACAATTCTAATGCAGTGCACTAGGAATTAATGTTAACAGGAACTGTAAGATTACCAGAAATAATGATTCTGTCTTGTATGGCACAATCCATTATATTAACGTACTTCCCCCCATCAGATTGCAGGTTCTTGTAATGAGTGCTGAATGTCCCATGCTCTATTGGCTTACCTTGCTTTGAACAGTAGTTTATACTCCAGTTTATACTTCCAGCAAGGTGCTATTCAAAATGAGCAAGGGTTGTAGAATTAAGTCTAACACGAGTGTCAGATTCTTCTGAAAATTAATACAAGTAGATAAAATAAATAAATAAATTAATGGAGATATCCTATCTCCTAGAACTGGAAGGGACCTTGAAAGGTCATTGAGTCCAGCCCCCTGCCTTCACTGGCAGGACCAAGTACTGATTTTGCCCCGGATCCCTAAGTGGGCCCCCTCAAGGATTGAACTCACAACCTTGGGTTTAGCAGGCCAATGCTCAAACCACTGAGCTATCCCTCCCCCCATTAAGATGAAGATGAAGATGATAAAATCCTGTGAGGCCGTGAGCTCCTTGAGCACTAAAACATGTCCTCCAGAAAGGCATCCAGTCTGAATGTGAAGACTCTTAATGTCTTCAGATCAAGACTGGTTGCCTTTCTGGAAGGTATGCTTTAGTCAAACACAAGTTATTGGTCTCAATACAGGGGTGACTGGGTAAAATTCTATGGCCTGTGTTAGGCAGGATGTCAGACTAGATGATCTAATTGGTCCATTCTGGCCTTAAAAAAAATACAGGAATCTGTTAACATTCCAGTTTCATTGGGGCCTGGAGGGGCCTACCGAGCGTTGGGTTTGTGTATGCGTGTGTGGTGTTAACCTTTTTTGTACTGTTTATACTCGATGTGTTGTTCAGAAAGTAGAGATCCCGGCTCTTTGAACATTCAAATTTTCCCCACCCCTCTAAAGTAGAACTTTAGCTGGGCATTCATGCATTTTATTTTCTTGATAGTTTTTGAAAGTTCTGTTGCTGGTAACCACATAGCAACGGAGCCCCATACTCAGCTTCCAAGTACTGCAGTGTATTTCACAACTTCCTTCCTGTCTTCTTTCTGACATTGAAACATATTTGTGAGGGAAAAAACTAGATACCAGCACAGGATAAGAATAGATGATAATACTAGGGGTTAGAAACATAACTTTAAAAAGGAAGCTGCTTTGTAACCTTAGTAAGAATTTGAGTTTCCTTGATTTTCATTTTTCAGGTGACTCTAAAATTTTGTATAAATGATGCTGAATAGCATTAGGACAGTGCTACAGTTTGAACACTTCAGCAGAAGAAGTTGGATTTCAAAATAACAGATTTGAAGGAGAGCTCCAGCGTGCCCTCCTTCTATGTCTAGTTATTTATCTTCATTTAAAAACAGGATTGTTCTTAAATTACGCAGATGGAATGGAAGTCTTCTCACCTTAGGAAAATTGAAATTATTGTTGATTTTCTTCGCTAACTCTAGTCCAGATTCGGAGAGGTGCTGAGCACCTGCAATACCATCAGGATCAGGCCTTCTCTGTTTTGAAATATAAATTTGGGTTTTAAAAATAAAAGATCTATTCAAGACTAGTGGCCTATTGATGACTGGCAAAAAAAATCAGGTTTGGAATTTGCTTGTCAATCAAATATGTCTCAAATCAAGAAGTGATTATTGGGTGTGTTAATTTCTGAGGAAATTAACAGTTCTAATACCAGCCATTTCGGTTGTTTGTCGTACTATTCTGCTGCTGTATTTGGCATTCTAGTTACTCTTCTGCCTCTTAATGTGCACTGGACAAAGCTAAAGGATGGAACATTTAGACATTGCCAAGTGCATAATTGTTATAGCTCACTTTAACTATTATTTTCTTATCTGTATTTGTAGTACATACTTAAGACCCTGGAAATCTGTCCTGTTAGAGCCCTTTTCTATTTCCACTCAGCCAATGTTGAATTTACCTGAAATTTATGGGACTATTTTGTTTAAAAGTAACTTTGGTCTATAGTAACTTTTCTCTGCAAAGCATCTGTTTTTGAATAAGAAAATAATTATTGATGTCAGCACATCTCCTAGAAAAGGATGTCATTGCTGTATAACAGAGTAGGAAGCAAAAAACTTCGGGTTTTAGGAGGCTCTAAAAGTAGGAAGCGTATTGTTTTTGTTTTCAATGTTCTGGCAATTGAATGATCAACAACCAAAAAACCCAGGTATTTAGGATCCAGAGAATTTTCTGCAGTCAAATTTCAACAGTTTTGTTACAGATCAAATCAATGTCCTCTTTAAACAAAATAGATTTAAACAATAAAAAAGTGAAAAACCTAAATCTCTTGAAAATGACAGTTGAGAATTCACTACATTCATTAGTTAGCTGATTTACTGTAATAGTTTATTTTAGGGCTGCTGCTGGTTGTCATGTAAATATGCATTTTAACAACTGTTAAAGCAATTAATGCCAATCTGATAGGATGAAATGACAACTTCTATTGTTAATGCCTAAATATTAAAGAACAGAAACTATGATATAGGAGGAGAGCACGTAATTAGGGCTTTGGGTACGGGGACAGAATTAATGGTAGTACAATAATATTAAGCTTAAGGAACCTCTGTATTGTAATGCTTAATTTCCACTTTGAGCTTGCGGAACCTTATTGATTCCTATGATTTTTTTTCTTTAATTTTCATAGTTTCTTATGAAGCTAGACATTCTACACACCAACAAGATGGACCAGCAACCGGAAATTATGGATCCAAATCTGCACTTGTACATTCCTCTCTTAGTCGGGTAATGAATTGCCTGGGGATTAAATAAATAAATAAAACAAAAAAAGAAATGCATGAAGTTCTACTTCTTGTCAAAGTGACTTCTCATTTGGGACACTGCTTGTCACTGACACATAAAACTTAGGCTCTGAACCTCTAGTGGTGCTTTTTGAAATAAGTGGGGATGTTAGTCCCAGTAACGTAGACAAGTTCCATTTTGAATAAATCAGGACCAAAATCTCCCTGCAGTTTTAGCCGAGTAAAGTATTCTTCATTATTTTCACTTTATATAATCTTCATTTTGTTTCTCTTCTGCAAAGGTTTCCTCCTCGTCTCTACTGCCAGGCAAATAGTCTTTATTTTGGAAGTAAGCACAGAAAGGAAGACTGTGGGGTTCAGTTAAGCCCAAATTTTGGTTTTGTAAAAACTACATTTTACAAAGCTTAACATGAATACAAATGTTTTCAGAAATTTAAATATAAAAATTCTTCCAATGATTTTTTGTTTGTTTGTTTAAATAACACTCCCCTCTGGTATTTGCAGCTCATTGATTGGTGCATCCTTCTAGTGTAGGAGAAGTATAAAGCAAAACTGACTAGAAAGCAAATTGAAAATGAGTACCGGTAGTTCATTTTCATTGTTTAAACGGAGTGAAATTCAAATGTAAGCAAACAACATAAATACTGAAAAATTAGATTGAGATTCTTAGATGATCAGAAGTGAAAGAATTTTAAGGTATTAATAACACAAGAAAAACATCTTTAAAATATATGAATTTAATTGAGATTTTTTTTCTTGATCTAGTGTGTTATCCCTGAGACACTCACACTGCCATGACCTGATATCCAGCTCCTGTGCAGGAAATGATTCAAATTTGTAGACCCAGTTTATTGTCTCAATCATCCCAATTATGATAAAGAAGATTAGGTGGGATGTTTTGTTTGATTTACTTGTACTGGTCCAGCATTTCCCTGCTGGCTTCAAAACCATAACTCTGCAAACTTTCCAAGTTGTCTATTGAAAATTTCCTATTATGGAAACAGATTTTTGGTCTAAGGTAAAATCTTGCCATGTTTACCAGCAGAACTGCTTTTATTTAAATGAAAGTGGCTGTTTTTTTACTGTACTCTCACTCTGTCTACCCCATAACATAAGAATAACATGAGGCATGGATAGATGATTAGGGATGGAACAGGTTTTTCAAGCAGTGTCAGTTTCCCCCCCCTCCCTCTGGCCCATGTCTACTTAGAACGCAATGGACTGCAGCTCCTACAAGAATTATTAATCTTTTATATCTTGCCGTATTGATTAGGTTGTGTTCATATTTTTTACTGTACAGGCAAATATGATGCACTGTAAAACCTATTTGTCAGTGTTCCATTTATGCATTTCAATAATTCTGCACCAAAGGAATTCTACAAGGCTATCCGGAGCTCCATCACATAGTAGCCAGGGGATAATTTTGAATACTTCTTTTTGTTTAAAGCTTGCCAACTATATCTATAGTTTGTAGACAGAAGTTATGAAAACAATGCACTCTAAACTGGAGCAGAGTAGGTTGACATGTAATATTCTATTTCTGCTTTGTTCTGCTACTTACATTCTATTTTAAACTGCCTTGAAGAATTGGGACTGTTTGCTTGATCAGCTGGTTTGAATAAGGTCAATAGTTTTCATTGTTTCAGTACTGCCACCATTTTTTTCTAGTATTATGTAGAAATTACACAAAATAACATAGCTGTTCAACTAAAGTAGTATGCATGAGAGAATTGTAGAATGTAGCATTATGGGGATCAGAGACGCTAATGAAGACAGACAGGGTTGGCCTTTGACCTATCAGCATCTCTTCCTCCTCTGCCTCCTTCGTTGGATGTTTGCTCTGCTTCAGTTTAAGGCAATTACCCTTTTTCCACAGCTCAGCTGCTGCAGAAAATAAAAAAGGAAGCAGCACTCCATAAGGAAATCCTGCCTGGTGTGTATGGAGAATTCAGACCAAACATGTAGCAAAGTAAAATAACTTTGTGGCCTGTCATTGGCCTAGATGATTATGATATTTTTCTAAAGCCTTTCCATGTTGGATCTTAAAGAGCTTTAGGAAGATTAATTACTAGATCTAGTCAAATGTTTTTAATCAAAACTTTTCTTCAGTGCAAAATGGCTTTTTGATAAAATGGTAATTTTTGAGAAAGGATTAGATGGTCAGTGTACTTGTTATTACTGGGGTGGTGATCAGAAGGGTTTAACTAGCTAGAGTGGGGAGAAAGCAGGTATTTAAAATGAGGTGGTTGGGCTCTGTAGTTCATCTTTCAAGAGGTGGAGGTTGTGGCAGCCCATTGATTGGAGAAGTCCTGGGTATTGACAAAGTATGTGTGTGAGTGGGATATATGTGGGACCATTTATGGCTAAATGTTTGGTACATGGCTAGGGCCAGCTCTGGAATTATACTAACAAGTATGATTTGATGGAGAATTAAGTTCTTCAGTGATTTTTCAGATTACTCTGTCATCTTTCTTTTAGGGTTTTGTAAAGAGGAACTTCCAAAGAGATGGGTCAGATGGAAGTTCCGTTTTCCCAAATGCGCCTTTGTTGCATTTGTAATACTTTGTAATACTCTACAGACCACTATAAATGGGTAAAATATACCTACTTTATCAAAGTACACAAATATGTCAGTACCAGTAAGTCAGGCAAGAAAGAAACACATGCTGCAGCTGCATTAACAATAGAGAGAGACTGACAACTGAGTCTGTTCTACTGACTCCACAACCAAAGTCTAAAATAAATAGCAGTAACACATTTATACTCCTTGCCTAGTGCCCACCCAGGAGTCCACTGGTATTTGTTGGCTAGTTAACATAACTGTCTTTGCTCAACCTCAGAACCCAGCACATCTTGCTGCAAGAAATTATCCTCTTATTTCACAGAGAAGATCCCCAGCATCTGGTCCATCAACCCGACACAGGACCTGAGAGTTTATCCCAGTGACACAAGAACTAATGGAAGTACTGATGCCAATAAAGGCCAGCACTGGTGACTAGTTGTAAAAGAGCAGGCCAAATCTTTCTTGAGCTGCCAATGCAGTAGTGGTTCTATGTTGCACTGGCAAACAATGTTGCTGTGAGGCTGCGGCATTGTCTGTATGATGCTAGGCTATGCAGATTCCTTGAGCTCTGGGGCATCAGACAGAAGTCTAAAATACTTCAAGCTTCTCGAGAATCTAAATAGTGTACCAAATTTTGAGTCCAACTTTGATGAAAATTTCATGACCACAAAAATGTTTCTGATAAAATACTGCATACTTGAGTTACAAGCCCAGAGTCCTGGTTCTTCTGAGTATTTTTTAGTTGGATTTTGCACGCTTTGTTTATCTTGTTGGCTGCATAAGATGTACATTAGATATATTTCTTCAGATTTCTCACTGTGGCAACCAATGGTGCAGCTTCACCAGTAAAACCAACTGTGAGGGAATTTGTATAGACTAGATTGACCACAGGCATTTTTAGCCACCAAGTTGTCTAATCGTGCTAAGAGCAAATCTAGATGTAGGGTGACCAGATGTCCTGATTTTATAGGGACAGTCCTGATATTTGGGGCTTTTTCTTATATGGGCTCCTATTACTCCTCACCCCCATCCCAGTTTTTCACACTTGCTGTCTGGTCACCCTATCTAGATGCCATGGTGGTTAAAATGCCAAATGTTACCAGTGGCCTGTCCATACTAGCACCTCACCAGTGGCAGCAATGGTGGATAATAATTTTAAGAAAAAAAAGCCTAGCGTAGACAAAGCCATTGTGAATTAACAAGGCAGTAAGTTTGCCGCTGGTTTCATGAATAAGACTATGAGCCTGATTCTCATTTACACGAAGGCCCTGTTACACTGCTCTGGAGTGTAAAGGTGCCTCAAAGTGGGTATGAATTACACATTTACACATTAGCACTTTCTAAAAGGGTCTTAGTACAAATGAGAATAAAGCCCCATGACTGTTAGGGTTGTTGTTTTTTAATCACCAATCACCAATCATATTTTTTGTTCCCCTTGTCTGTCTACTACAGAGCAAAACTTCTCCATGAATTTTTACAAACTTTCCTCTATGGAAGAGTGACCTAGGTTTTTAAGCTGTTCTAAGCTATGATCTCATTAATATTAAACAGTTTTAAAATAATGTTTATTGAACTGTAGACTGTGGCTTGAAATAATATAACCTCAGGAATTTGATTTTTTTTTCACATGGGAAAACCTCAGCTGATTCATGGGAAACAGTGTATCTAAAACATCATGTAGTTTAAACCAATAAATCTCACATAATTTCAAACTAGCACAAAGTACTATTTTGTGATGTTTCCTGTTTGGGGGATCTTTTAACACATTTTAAAAAACAAAGTCACATATTTGAGTTTGAGCACGTTGACAGCCTAGCCAGAGGAGTGGTCTTAAACTTCGCTGGAGCATGTAGCTTATTCTTTCCTACATTCTGTCACTAAAATATTTTGTCATGCAGGTCAAAGCATTTTAAATGTTTGCTTCTTTCCACCATAAGAGTGATGCTCACAACATTGACATCCCCTTCTGTGCAAACAAACAAACAAACAAACAAACACAACCTTATACAAATCAACCTTAAAAAAAGTAAATAAATACAATTTTAAAAAAAAAGCTAATCCAATCAGCTTTCCCGCTTCTCCCCCCCCCCCCCCAATGGAGACATTCCAGTGACTCCATTGAGTTCACTCAGGACTTCACTGTTGCTATCCATTTTATGTGGAAGGCATTCAGATGTTTTGGTGATGGGCGACAATATAGAACACCAATATGGGGAGATGGATCTTATTGCATGACTAGTTGGAGTGATCTTTCTATCTTCAGCATAGTTGGGTTTGTTTTTTATTTTAGCTTCATTCATGTGAAACTTCCTGTATTTCTCTGAGAAAATGGGCATTTATAATAAGCCCTAACTGTAACAGATATCAATCGGCTTGGGCCTTTCTGCTCCTGTTTCTTTAAAAAAGGGCTTGCTAGATGTGCAGACTGACCCTGACTTCTTAAAATGTGTGTGTGCTGCTTTCCCCGCACTTTTGCACGTGACTTTGTGCCCTGTTTTTGAAGTCTCTTTCAGTAGAAAGGGAGCCACAGGACAGCAGTAATTACCCAGATGACCCCTGGAGGATAACTGAGGAACAGCGAGAATATTACATCAACCAGTTCAAATCCCTACAGCCTGATCTGAACTCTTTCATTTCAGGTAACATTTACTAAATAATATGTATGTGCAGCAAAACAACCAGGATGAAAGGCCTGAAAATTAAAGCAAAGTACAGTAGATAAAGGGAAAGCTTCTTGAATTATCTTTAGATCAGGTTTGTGCCCCAGACAGGGTTGATTTATTTATTTATTTATTTTAAAGTAACAACTTCTAAAAAAGTTACCAACCTACCCACTGCATTTTATCTCTTTTGCTACCCACCCAGGATTCAAATTCACGGGGGCGCCCAAAAATATAGACCAGCGTCGTCGTCCTCCTCCTCTGCTGCCTCCTCCTTGCCCTACAGAGGGGGCAGCAACTACCTGCATCCAGCACCCAACACTGCAACCCTAACCCCAGCTCGCCAGGTCACAACGCCACATACTCAAATGCCTCGCCCTCCAAATCCTCTTTTTCTCCCCCAGGGCCTACAACCCTAGGCCCGCAACCCATCTACCACCTTCCTGTGACCCACTGAATCACTGAATTAAAGCATTAAAATAATACAGTGGTAAAATAATAGTTTCTTCAAAGAATTTTTTTTAAAATTATTTAAAGCGTGGTTCTACTGTTAAAGATGACTCCAAAATGGGTTACAGCTTAAATGTATATTTTAATACCACATGCTCTCTGTTTACAGGTAAAATATTTTTTCTTAACTGCCATCCCTGCAAACTCACTCTGGGATCTGAGAGCCAAACTGGGTTAATTCTTTCTTGTGTGTCATCATCAGAAATAAATGTTCTGCAGACCAAATGCTGTCCTCACTTACAACTTTGCAACCCCATTGTCTTCAGAGAGTTTATACAAGTGTCATTGACTGGAATTTAGCAACAAAAAGAAAATCTTTTGACGATGCACAAGGAGGACTAGAGTCCAGCTATTTCTCTCAGCTGTGGTGGCTGCAGGAATAAAAGAGGAATAAAAAAATAAAATAAATGTATATTTGTCACTAAAATGAATAGATATGATTCTAAACACACACTGGAGTAGATCTTTTGAGGAAGAATGTGAGAGTTTCGCATACTAATTTTTCAGAATAGAAACACACTTTAAAAATTCAGTGGGAAGTTAAAATAAATTGTTGGAATCTGAAGACAGCATTTGGGGCTCAGTCCTGCAAAGTGCCAAGCTCTGGCCTGATCCATAAAAACACAAGCATGTACTTAACTACTTTCCTATTAAAGTCAATGGGACTGTTTAGGTGCTTAGAGTTAATGATCTGTTTAACTGTTCTACAGGATCATATCAGGATGCTCAGTACTCTGTAGGATTGAGTTGTTGGCCCTTAAGCGGTTAAATGTAAACCCTGCATAGCACACACATGGTAACAGTATTGTAACTGACCTTAAAAATCAGATTTTCACTGACCAGACTTCTTGTGAGAGGAATTATTTTAGGTACTGTGAGTTAGTCTGGCAAGGAAAAGCCACAGATTTTAACTACAGGCATTTTGACTCTGTCCTCTGAGGTTATATTATTGCAATCCAACACTTTGGGATTCAGGAATTCTGACCTCAGACAAAGGTTTTAAAATAATTGCTTGATCTTGGCAGAAATTAGCACTTCGTCAGTTTTTTTCCCCCTTGGTTAAATCTCCAACTGATCTTCCTAGTAGGAGGGAAAAGAAAATGGAAGTTCAACACATAGTGGATTTCCAATGAAGCTGCATATAGTAAACTTTGTTTATAACAGAATGCATTCTTTAGAATATGCAAGATGTTTGCTCTATCTATTCCGAGAGAGAGCCTCATATGGCCAGACATTGCATTTCATGCACGCCCAGAGTTACTATTAACTGCAGTGGGAGGCAGGATTATAGATCTGTATATAATGGCTCTGAACGGGGTTGGCCTTACGTTTTGCAGGCTTATGTGAAGTAAAATGTGCAAGGGTCTAAGGCAGACTTTTGCCATCCCTGTAGCCTATTTGCCTGAGACAGTGCTTGGCCGCTAGATGCATAGTGAGCTTCTTATCACTGAAGAGGGCTCAGCAGGGGTTTGTTGGCTGGGAGGGAAATCAGATTGCTTATTGTGGGAGGGCTACAGAGGATGTTCACAACTGGTAGTGAAGACTGTAGCAGGATGCTTAGTTGGTTCCTCTAAGTTCAGGGGTGGCCACCCTGAGCCGGAGAAGGAGCCAGAATTTACCCATGTACATTGCCAAAGAGCCACAGTAATACGTCAGCAGCCCTCCAGCGCCTCCTGCCTGCTGCAATCAGCTGTTTTGCATGCGCAGGTGGCTCTGTGGGGGAGGGGGAGGAGTGAGGGCATGGCAGGGTTGGGGGCAGGGGCTTTGGGGGTAGGGGTGGAATGGGGGCAGGTCCTGGGGCAGAGCAGGGGGTTGAGCAGTGAGCACACCCCAGCACATTGGAAAGTTAGCATCTGTAACTCCAGCCCTGGAGTAAGCGCCTATGCAAGGAGCTGCATATTAACCTCTGAAGAGCCACATGCGGCTCTGGAGCCACAGGTTGGCCATCCCTGCTCTAGTTTTTCTTTCATGATGGTAGGGCCACAGCAGGCCTGAAAGCAGAGAAAGTCACTGTGGGAGTAGCATAGACGGTGCAGGGCCATTTGCTGCCACATACTTGGCATGTGATTAGAAGCATCCTTTTCTCTGGAAAGGAAGCCATTTATCTCAGTTTTCCTTTCTTTGTATTCATAATGGCGTACTGATGATGATAATAGTAATATTGAGGCATGTTTTCATCCATTAATATTTTTCCCACGTGGAGAGAAGTAGAGAAATGAGGTCAAACGCTCTGCTTGGCCTGTCCCATCTCGGTGACTCACCAAGAGACAAATGGCCAAGCAACTATATTAGTACCCAACAATCAGAGCGTCTGTTGAATGTGAAATAAGCTGCAGCTTATGTTGCAGCTTTATAGAAAAACAAACAAAATCAGATTGGAAGATGAATATCAAATGCCTAGCAATCCTTGTGACACCTTAGAGACTAACAAATCTATTTGGGCATTAGCCCAGATAAATTTGTTAGTCTCTAAGGTGCCACAAGGATTCCTCATTGTTTTTGCTGATACAGACTAACACGGCTACCCCTCTGAAACCCATCAAATGCCTATTTCACTGTTCTTGACAGGTTCCGTGGCTAAGAATTTCTTCACAAAATCCAAGCTTCCCATCCCAGAACTTTCTCACATATGGTGAGTACTGTAGTGTAACCCAGAATATGGATGCTTGTTTTAAAAGACATTTTAGCTCAAGAGTTCTTGTTAGACTGAAAAAGTGTCTTTAGAGTAATTATAATTATTGCTCTTATCATCAAAATCACTTTCAGGTCCAAGCAGTGGGGTGCGTGTTGATCTTCCTGGCATGCTTGTTATCTTTTTAGAGCTACTCTTTTACTCAACAGGACTGCAGATATTTTAATAGCAATATAAATGATAGCCATTTTAAAGAATATTATAAAAAAACATCATTAGCTCAATGAAAAGACATATTTCATGAAATGGTTTAGAAGAAAAACACATTTGGAATATTTTAGATGTGTTCGGTTAGCTTTATGTTTCTGGCTGTGATTTGTGAGATGAGGCCTAATTAATACCTAATTTTTAATAAGTACATCTGCATAATTCATCAGTGCTTTTATTAACGAGCCAGCACTCTTGTTTTTAATGAGTTTGTTTAGAGACCATTGCAGATGGCACTTGTATACAATACAATTTATAAGGATCTTATTATATTTCCATAAACATAATGGTTCTTGTATCGTCATCCTATCTTGATATCAGGAACAAACTGTTCTAAACATTCACCAAAAATGCTGATAAAGGGAACTCTTATTTCACTATAGCTATATACTTTTATGAAGATAGATTTTAAGAAAAGCTTGCAAGAGCCCAAACATCTGTTGGGTTCAGAGAATTTGCCTGGAATAGTTTCAAAGCTAGTTGTGAATCATGAAAAAAAAGGCTAAAGAAACATTCTCTGGGGAAAAATGAGCACTGGAATTTAATTTAAAAATTATTTAAGAAAAACTGCTTAACCCACTATGATAACCAAAAACATTTTATTTATGTTACAAACATTAACTGTGCGCTGTATAGCATTACAAAAGAAAATGTTCCTTTCTAGGAGCAATTTGAAATCTTGCATAATATAATTTATCAGGCAAAAACTCCTTTGCTAAAATTGAGGAGCATTTCAATCTTGCTAAAATTGAGGAGCATTTCAATCTTCACTGTAACCTTGACTGCTTGAAACATTGTCCCTTCACTTTCAAACAGTGATGAAGTAACTATTGCTCCATTTTAGCCATTATATTAATACTAAATGAATTCTAATATTTTCCAGAAGATGTAGTCTATGAAACTGTGTTCGTGTGCTTCTGAAATCCTCTGCTGCTGTTTCACGCTTAAACTAAAACTAAACAAACAGCAGTGCTAACGGGCAGTTTAATGCTAACAGTCCAAACTGCCACCAGCATTAGTTAATCCAGCTGTGCAGCTCATAAGGCCGGTCTACACTTGTTAATTAAGCACTTTCTGAAAACTGTTTGCATTGATCGGTCTGCCTGAAACAGTACTGAATAGGGTTTAAGTGCTAGCATAGACCAACCAAACAGTTTGTCAACACCATTTCGGAAAGAGAGATTGAATTTGGGTACTTAAATATAATTTCTTGACAAATTTCAGTTTTTGAAATACCAGATAGAAAATATTGTATGATGTGGCATAAAGAGAAAGCACTTTTTTTCCCATATAAAATCTTCTTAGTATTGGAAAGTCAGATTGTTCCACTTCTCAAAAGGAAATGTTTAAAAAAATAAACAGTATTTTAAAAAAAATCCCACTTACTTGGGAATGGTTACCTTTTTACATAAAGAATATGCTCTGTGTGTGTGTGTGTGTGTGTTTATGTGTATGTTTCATTCCTGCAATGGCTCAGGGAATGTGTGAATACCATGTTCACAGGGAGCTGAGCGATGTAGACTGTGATGGAGCGCTGACGCTGCCAGAATTCTGTGCTGCATTTCACCTCATTGTTGCTAGGAAGAATGGTTATCCATTGCCAGATACGCTGCCGGAGACCTTACTGCCAGATTACCTTCAACCAGGTGAGGCTGTGATATTCCTGTACCAACTCGTCGTTCATCCAGAACAGCCTTTTTTAGTAAGAGACAAAGATTTAGCTAGAAGCTGAGTAGTACCTCTCAATGTAGCTTGATAAAACATTGATTTTTAGTTATGCTTAAAGGGAAAAGGCTAAAGAAGAACCAAAAAATAATAATTAAAAAAAAAAAAGACAGCAGCAGCATGTCTCTGTGAAGGAGCACACCTGCACACTGACAAAGAGGGGACTAATAAGCTCCTCTGGGCCTGGTCAGCACCAATGAGGCACACCTGCAAGGCCTGTTCTTCCTGGAGCGGGGTGGGGGCGGGGATGTTCAAAAGGGAAAACCTGCCACAGGAAAGAGGGCAGGGGACGTGAACAGGGAGAAGGTTGCCCCGTCCCAGACAGCTGAGAAAGGCCTGCCCAGAGGGAGACAGCAATAAGCCTCACCTCTCCTGAAGCTGCAGGCCCAGCCTCAGAGCAACACACCCCATGAGGAGGGGCTGGAGGTGGACCTTGTGTAGATTAAGTTCTAAAGGCTGACCCAGGAAGACTGCCTAAGTTCCAGGTCACCCTTGTGTCTTTTCAATTTTTTATGCTCTCCTCTCCCCTATAAGGGAAGAAAGAGGGGAGAGGACTTTTCATTTTTTGTTTGTTTGCTCCAAGAACCCCTTGGACATATGCTGTGGGGAGAGAAAGACAGTATGAGGATCTGAAGTGGGGTCTGGAGGGAACTTGAGGGGACCCCTGCCCCTCCAAAGTCTCTGTTCCCTATAGGCTGTCCCCATGCTCTATTGAAATACTAGTGTCTACTAGAATTCTACTGTCTAGATTCTACTAACGTGAGGCATAGCTAGGAGTGGCAGATCTGGATGTCACAAAATTTTACATATGAAGTAGGTGACTTTTAGCTTTTGTGTTGTCTTGCTCTAATGACTCTTGGAGGCATATTTGAAACGATGGAATATTACTGACCTGCTTTACAGGTTATCTTGAATGCTGTATATGATTATTGATTTTAGCAGAGCTCACATTTTTCTATAACTCATTTTCCTGATCTGCCATTCCTACTGTTAATATTTTACAATTAACAGTGAGATTTCACCAGTTTGTGTGGGATGGGGATAAATGAGTCTACAATGTGTGATGTACCTCATTACTGAGGTACAGTTGAGAAATATTGACATATGTTGTCAATTTTCATTATATATTAACACTGAAGTGCATACCCTTCAATTAAAAAATGTGCACAGCTTTCTAGGGTGAAGAGGATTAATTGCTGATAATAGTTACAGTGCTAAGAGATAATATATAAGAGCTAATAAAATCTCCATTAAATTTGCTGGCACTTTAAAAGGAGAGGAAAAGAGCAAATCAAGTTGTAGTTAAAAAATTAAATGTCCCCCATGTATCAATTCACTGAAGTAATTTCTGTCAGATTCCTGTTCTCTACATCTTCATATCCACGGGTATAAACTATGAAAATCAACCTTCAAGATGTTCACACTATTAGTCTGCATAATCGTGTGTCCTTATCACTATCACCTCCATCTTCCCTCCCTCAGGCTCTCCTTCCTGTTTGTTATGCTCGCTTCTAGTCTCATTTTAAATTAGACTGTAAGCTGGTCAAGACAGGGATCTTGTCTTTCTATACAGTGCCTTTCACTGTAGAACCTTGAGCATGTCATGATTATGGCCTCTGGGTGCTATTGTAATAGAAAGAATTAGTAGTAATAATAGGGCATTTTTCTTGAACACACTATGAACCTCTGACTTGGCATGAATCAGGTTGTGTGTTTTCTAAGCTAACCTTCCTCATCTCTGTCTTCAGTTTTTCCTCTTGGCCTCCTGCTAATGTCTTGAATTAAAACCAAATACTTGAATTGCATCCAGCTGTTCATAAATATCCACCAAGCTTTTATTAACTAAAGGCATTTCCACTGCAAATTTGAGAACAAAAGGCTAAATTGCAAACAGGTTTGTTTCTAGCTATTGCAGAATGTTTGTCATCCTACTAACTAATATTTAGTATTTTTGGATACTTTTTTTTAATAGTATTTAATAGATAAGAACCTTTCTCTAGGCTTTTTAAGCCATCTCATAGAATTTAATAGGCAATTACATACCCTTACAAGAGAACTTTATAGGATAGTTTAAAGAAATCAAAATCCTCTAGAGTTAGTACAATTTTCTGTAAAATTATAGGGTTTTAGAATCATTTCAGTAGAAAATTTCAGTGGAGACTAATGGTTTTGTCCATATTATATTGTTTGGGACTTTTCTAGAAGGGACAACTGGGAATGGATAGCTCAGGAAGACGATACTGGAATACAATGTCTGACATGTCTAGGTCACTAGCTAGAATCTAGTTTGTGCTTCTAATGACCCAGGGTTTGTCTTCAGCTGCACCTTTCCACTGTAGCACTTTAGTGAAGACACTCTTATGCTGACAGGAGAGCTTCTCCTGTCGGCGTAGTTAATCCAGCTCCCTGAGAAGGGGTAGCTATGTCAGCAGTTAGATCGGTATAACTATGTTGCTCAGGGGGGTGAGCGACGTAATTATACCGCTATAGGTATGTAGTGTAGACCTGGCCTGAGAGTAGTCTGGTATCCTACATGAGGCGAGTTTGGTTGTCTCTGTCTCATTCCTGGCTAGAAGACAGGTACCAATATTAAAAAGAAAAGTCATGACCACAGTTTGCACTAGTTAGCACCTTTTACTGGCAGTTTGAGCACAGAGCAAGGACTGAATGAGCACGGATAGTGAGTGTCTGTGTTCCTCCATCCTTTGAGGTGTTTCCTCCAGGTCAGAGTTGAGGCACGTTGGCAGGATGGTGGGGGGAAGCTTGCATCATTGCTGTCCATTTAATATCTGATCTGTTGATAGAGGACATCAGTTTTCATTGTGTCAGTTTGGCACTTCTAATATCTTAATTTTAATAAAAAAATACATGAGGATAAACAAAGGCAGATGATAATAGCTGCTTATCATATTGGCCGATGGTGTCTCACTGTGTCCTTGTGCTTTTTACGTTTTAAAAAGTAGGGCAGACAGTTGCCTGGGAGATTTTTTCCCCATATATTTTTTCCTCTTATTTGCACCTAGCTTTTGTTCTGAACTCCCCTGTTTGCACTGTAGCCTTCTATTTTCCTAAATGAGCTCTGTTTTGTTTCTTTTAAGCAGCAAAGCTTTTCAAGGGCTAACCATTAATTCTAGCAGTGATATTGGCAGAGTATTTGAGGGATTTAACATTTAGCTAATACTTACAGCTCTATTTAGACAAGATTCACAAATAAAGATGGAGTTTTTGAAAGGAGAAGTATGTATTTGAAAAAAACCCTTGCACAGTGAATCACATATAGTACAGGCTCTGAACCAACAATTTTTGGAATATGCATATAAATAAAGCAGTATGGTGTGCTTCCCTGTATATGTAATGGACCCTTTTTATACTCCCTTCCAAGTACAACACTAGAATTTATGACAACTTGGTATGAAACATTTTTTATGGGAGAAGTCCTATACCATAGTTTAATGTCTATGAAATCAAGGTTTTGCTTGGTCATTTAGGAATGTAAGTCTATTTGATAGCACTTCTCATTAGCCTGTTGTATTAAGTCCAGTATGAGGTAGACTTAGTACTTTATTCATAAGGCTCAAGCAGAATTTTTTGCATTTGATCAAAATGTTAAAATTTAAAATAAAGAAGTGACTTTCAAAAGAAGCATTTAAGGGATGAATTGATTTTGCTACTTATATGGCTTGTTTTATGAACTACAAGTTCAGGGCTAAATTCTGTGCTGGGGTGACTCTATTAAGAACTTGACCCACTGTGTTTTGCTTTGAAAGCTTTTCTTGAATTAAAATAAAAAACCCTAAAGCTGATTGCCCTGTCTAGTAACCTAACTGTGTTTTAAATTAATACAGATTTGTAAAAGCTTAGTTTGTTTGGAGGGACCAGATGCTAATCAGAAACTAGAAACTGGACTTGTGAATTGGTTATTCTGCTACTCAACATATTAATCTTAAGAAAAATAGGTTTTCTAGCTACCAAGATGCTTAATGATTTAGAGGGACTAATCCCTGAGAAATGTTAGCAGAAGGGTCCATGTATATAGAACAAAAACATGAGTGTTGCAAATATTACCTTAACAAATTGCAGGATTGTTTCTCCTGCTCCCAGTAGTTACCTGATTGAAAACTATTAAAGCTGATACCGACCGAAGCAAGTGTTGTGATTAGTCTTCGTTCTTTTCACTGACATTTAGTTATATTGCATAGTGTTTGGTTCTAATACATTCCCCATTTCTAGATAACACAAGCAGGAAGTTGCAGGCCTATCAAATAGGTTTTATAGTTCTAGCACTCCAATCTGTAATCTGTTACGCCTACTATATTGACTCCAGATCCCAGGAAGGAAAGACACAAATAAAACTTCAGTCATAGTTGTTTTTGGGTGGCTGAATAGTATCTAAATCTGTCCTCAGTTCCACCCGATTGTTTCTACAATATATTAGACTTGTACATCACAACATGTTGTTACTTAAAAATAATACAAGAGAAAATGATTCTCTATACAGTACTTATCACCTTGTTATCCAGATCAATTGCAGTATGAAGGGGTGGGGAGGAAAAATAATAATCTAATACATGTAAAATATATGTATTATTAAACAAAGACATGTATCTTTGCTTTCTCTCCAGCTTCCTTTAAGCCTAAACGTGACTGCGCATTATTGGATTCTTATTCTGAGTCATTGCCAGTCAGTCAACAGACCAGGGACTTTAATCGAACTGAGGTAAGAAAATTACCCGAGGGCTATAGTTACATTAAGGAATTTACATTAGTAGACCATCTAGCAATTAATACATCATACATATCTGTGGAATTTTCAAGTGGGCTATCTGTTTTTAAGCTTGCCTTTTGTCCATCTTACTGTTCCTCTCTCAGCAATTAATTCAGTGACTG